GCCGGTTCGTGTGCGAGGCAGCGCCTCCTCGAGTATGGCAAACGGTTGAAATCCTGGGTTCCGTTAAAGGGATCTATAAGGGTACCTGTAAGGGCTTCCTTTAAGGGCTCTATAGGGTTTATAGGGTGTAGGGATATAAATCCTGCATCACGAATAATAAGGAATATGCCATAATTCCCGTAGGTTAGGGTCCTTAAGGCAATGCAGGGTTTGTATCATCAACAGAAACCGCTCCACACTGGACCTCATTTGTGGAAAGACGGCTGTGAGAAAGGACACCAAGCTGTAGACGGAATTGACGCTTGTCGTGCATGTAAATGCATGTCTTTGTCCGTCTCTTCGATCTCCCAACCCTCTCTGGTTAGACGCGTAGTTGTAGTTTTGTAGATGTAGTCTTGTAGTTGTAGTCGTAGTCGTGCTCGTCGCAGGGAATTAGCCGCAGTAGCGGAAGCAGGTTCCAGAACCCAACCTCTGGAACTGCGCTTCAAGCGTTTCCATACTTCAAGAGGGCGGCGGGCGGCTACTGACTAGTGCTCACTAGAGGTCGTAAACGTCAGACCAGCCGCAGCAACAACCACGGCAGCAGCATGCTTGATATTGGCAGTCGTAAGTTGGACTCAGATAGACAAAGAAGGCTCAGATACTGTCAAGCCGAAGCAGGGTAGCCCTGTAAGGCTGCAAATGTTGAGCAACAAGCCAAACCAAGAGGCCAAGTTCATCCAGTTCATCGTTCTTTGTCTCTCCCAGCACTACAGTAGGCTGGGTGCGCGTCCGAATTTGTATAATTCATGTTCTTTGTTGATACTTGGGGCGTTCTAGCGTGCACGGTCATGCTCATGCCCTCAGAGTAGCAAGTCCATCTCAAGAACCGTACTTGTCTTTCTGGCATCAGCGTGATTGCAGTCGTCTTCAACCGCATCAGAGCATCAATGATGAGAGTAAGATATTCTAAAGCCTGACCCAAAGCCCTAAAGCTTAAATCCCCGCAACCCTAGACCCTGAAGCCTGATTCACATCAGGAGAGAAGCCACAACCCCGGCAATTCCGTGGACCTCATGGAGTTCGCTGACTCCTCGGCGGTGTAGCAAGAAGGGGGGCTAAAGAACTGGAGCTTTGAGGATCAGGATCTAAGGGATTTGGGTGTGTCTTAGGGGAGTTGAGGTGTGCAGGATTTATGGCCGAATCCGAGATTAGTGTTTAGGGCTTCGGGCTTGGGTTTAAGGGTGTACTCCTGCTAGGGGCGCGACATAATATTCCCTCGTAGCCCATCTAGAGTTACAGCAGACGCACTATATCTCACAGCCTCATTGCAATGCCTGAGACTGCTCTGATTGGATGTCTAAGATGAGCCATACACCTGGTATACTATAGGCCTAGGGCGGTAGGGTTGCTGGAAGTTCCAGGTTTCACGGTTTGGGCTTCAAGGGATCTTGCATCTGGCTTTGCCGGCTTAGGGCTGCAGGGTTTCACAATTTGCGGCGGGGTTCGTACCGTTGATGGTATAAATCCTGCATGACCCATAACAGGGAATATACCATAATTCCCATAGTGCAGGGTCCTTCAGGTAATGCAGGATTTATACCATCAACAGTAGTACGCGAGGTTTCTGGAGGGTGAGGGCCTTGCCGATGGCCGAAGGGCAGCGGTCTTTCACGCACAGTCTCCAGCTTTCCCGATTCTTTGGCGGCTCCCTGGTTGAGAGTGCCCTCGCCCGAGTTCCTGATGTGGCATCGCCGTGTACTCTCAATCCAGCTTTCGAAACTCGGGACCTGAAGTCCTCTAAACCCTAGACCCTGACCCTAACTGACCCTCTTACCATGAACTTGAGCCCGGCTCGGCTCAGATTGAACTCTTCCGGGAGCATGCTGATGTCAAAGCCTGCCCGTCTCGTTGCAAAGGGCTAGAAGCTAAAGCTCGGAGTTCTTCTTTACGGTTCAGGGGTTGGTTTAGGGGTTTCAGGTTTAGGGTTTGGGGATACCTTGTCCCTAGCTGGGCCGGCGTGGGTTTCGCAGCATGTCTGTTTGGTTGGAGGGGGGAGCTGTTCAGGCAGAGCAGATACGCTGAACTCCAGGCCCTGCTGTTGCTTCGGCCGGAAACGCTGCTGACGACATTGATGGCGATGGTGGTGATGAGGTCGATAACATGAACTTGTATCGATTTATCAGTGATGTCGATATTTTGGTCGTAGCTGGTACTCGTACTATTATGATTCTGGTACCTGTTTCGATGGTGGTCACTGCTCCTATGTGCTCCTATATTCTAGCACAGTGTCGTTCAGTTCCGGCACCTATACATGAGATCGACGCCGACGCAGCCGCAGCAACAGCAGCAACTGTGCCGCCACCGCCACGAACCCTGCAATTATCGCAGCCACGGGGCCACCAACAAAAGACCGGCCCAAACCTCCCGAAAGCCCACAACCCGCCACCCCTATCCTCAACCCGCTGAGCGAAGGGCTGAACTTGGAGCCGTCTCGCCCTGCACCTTTATGCCGCATGCCTAAGCCCTAAACCCTGAACCCTAGATTCTAGATAGCCCACGATGACGACGACCCTCAGCTCCAACAAACCTGAAGGCCTCAATGAAGGCTAGAGTCCCCAAGCCCTAAACCCTGAACCCCAAAGCCCAAACCCTACACCCTAAACCCTCAGTCCCAAACCCCAAAACCCTAAACCCCAAAGCCTAAACCCTATACCCTAAACCCTCAGTCCCAAACCCCAAAACCCTAAACCCCAAACCCTAAACCCTGTACCCTGAACCCTCAGTCCCAAACCCCAAAACCCTAAACCCCCAAACCCCCAAGACCCTAAACCCTAGACCCTAAACCCTCATTCCCAAACCCCTATACCCTAAACCCCAAAACCCTAACCCCTAAACCCTAAACCCTAAAACCTAAACCCTAAAACCTACACCCTGAACCTTAAACCCTAAACCCTACACCCTAAACCCTCAGTCCCAAACCCTATACCCTAAACCCTAAACCCTATACCCTTTACCCTATACCCTTTACCCTTTACCCTAAACCCTCAGTCCCAAACCCTATACCCTATACCCCTACAGTATACCATCAACCGTGACGGCTCAAGAGCCCTCAAGATCCAAACGGCCCCGACGACTCGACCCTCGAGCAGAGCCTTGAAATTCGCGCTGGCACACACCTGGGGAGTGTAGGGTTTAGGGTATAGGACTTTAGGGTATTTTAGGGTTTAGGGTTTAGGATTTTAGGGTTTAGGGTTTAGGACTTTAGGGTTTAGGACTTCAGGGTTTAGGGTTTAAGGTTTATAGAACCCTACACCCTAATAAACTCTAAGCCGCCAGCAACTCCAAAAACACCGAAACACAAACCCCCTAAATCTTAAACCCCTGAGCCAGCCTCGGAAGTAGTACTTCTGACCTGCGGGAGCCTTAGCTGCGACGCCATGGGGCTGCCAGGGCTGCCATCCGAGAGATTGTCGCCCTTAGGATGCACTCACAGCCTTCTTGGTGGTTGCCAAAATTATGGTCCCTTTTTGGTCCCTAATATAGTACGGCACCTATTATTTAGGGTACCCAAAAAGGAACCATAATTTCGACAACCACCCTTCTGAAGGTTTTATTTGGCACTTTGTAGCACTTTTATGAGGGTTTTTGGAAGTCTATGGGATTTGTACTGCGGGGTGCTCTGGGCTCAAAGGAGCTAGGGCTGGAGGACTACAAGCCGGGTTTTTCCCTGGGGTCGGTATGTTGCCGCGGACGTGCGCATCGTAGGGTTTAGGGTTTAGGGTTTGCGCACACCGGCAAGACTGCCAGCGCTGACCAGCTGATGGTGCTTCGCCGACTGTGTGCCGAATCTTCTGGCTTTCGTCAATTTGCCTAAACTGTGAGTCCTGGGCGCCCCATGATCCAACTGATTCAACCAAATCATCCCAATCCTAAAGCACAAAGGCGGAGCTCAAAACGGCAACCGCAGTCGGACAGAAATACACAATAAGAAGAACTTCCCGCACACAGATACCAACAACAAAAAGACGCCAGACCCAACATGAGCCCTAAGGATAAACTCTTATATAACCCTAAGCCCCATGTGTACACAAGCCCTACGCCCTAAACCAGCCTTTTAAGCTCTGAATCCCTAAACCGATGGCCTCAACCCTAAATCCTAAACCCCTACACCCGAAAACCCCTAAACCCTCAACCGCAGAGCCTACACCCTAAATCCCTAAACCGTTGACCTAAGCCCTAAACCCTGAACCCTAAACCCCTAAACCGTAAACCCCTAAACCCCTAAACCCCTAAATCCCTAAACCCTAAACATCAAAAAACCATAAATCCTCAACCCGAAAATCCAAAAAACTCTAAACCTCAAATCCGAAACCCCTAAACCCTAAATCCTAAACCCCTAAACCTTAAATCCTAAATCCTAAAGCCTTCAATCCCTAAACCCCAAAAACCCTGAATCCTCATTCAGCCCAGGAGCAGAGATGACCCACTGGGACTTCGAGTTGACCCACTCGCTGTCCTGCAGCCTCTGGGAAGCGACTTGCTTTCGTGCATTTTGGGCTTAGGGTTTAGGGTTTTAGGTTTAGGGTTGGGGCTGTTTTCGGGCTTCGCTTCGATGATAGTACCGGGAGATTCTTCCGGAGATTCTCAGGTTCAGGGTTCAGGGTTTGGGATTTAAGGCGTGTTACGGATCTTAAGTATGGGGGTATGGGGTCCGGGGAGCTGAGTTAAGCTATGTCATGAGTTGCAGCTTGCACCAGAACACGATTCAGCCTCTTGCGCTCGACTTGCCATTGCTTCACTGCCGCTCCAGAGTTTTGGTTTGTTAGCACAGGCTCGCGTGATCATTTTGGTGCCATGGCTGCCCGTGTTGGGTTGGGTATCTCAGCCTTGCTCTTCGGGATGCTTGATGCCTGCATCGAGGGCCGGGATGCTGTGGCCTGCCTGGCCGATGGAGCCAGCGACACCAGCAGCCTGCTCACCTTGAGGAAGTCTGGGCATGTACCAGGGATAGCATCGAGATGTTCAAGGGTTACGCTGCGGTGGAAGGCACGCTAAAATCCCGGTGCTTGCTGGGCGATGCCGAATCCGACTCGACATTGCTGAACGAGGTCTACGTCAGCATCGCAAGCTCCACGGAGTCACTCGCTAAGGCACTGAATGTCGAAGTTGGCATTGGCATAGAGTTGTCTGGCATTGGGGTCAGCGACAAAACAACCTTTTTCAAGTCGCTGAACACGACCACCACGTCCGTGAGCGCGACCGTTCGCTCCTACGTGCTTTGTGATGATAGCGCCTGTGTCCGTTCTAGGACGAGGGTCAAGTAAAAATCACCATTTGTTTGAAGCTCTCCTGAAGAGAGATTAGGCTGAACATGCGGCTGGAGTATTACTCCTCCGTCATGGACTATGCTGAGACCTTCAAGCAGATCAGAGAGAACCTGATCACGCTGAAGGAGTTCCGGGACAAGAACGCGACACTGAATGCCAGGTCCAACAATCTTGGAGCTGGCTTTCAGTGTCGCGTTCTTGTCCCGTTACAATGCCCGTGCCATACAGAGCACCTACGATCGGTACTTCGGCACAGGCAACTTCAAAACACATGACCCTAGGTTGGAAAGGTTTGAGGGCTGACTTCGCGAAAATCGCCGAGGTGAAAGACTCCTACATACGGAATCCGACAAAGCCAGTCCCGTCGTGGAGTCGCAGGATATGTCTTCGCTGGAAAGCCCGGAGCTACGCTGGTCGGTCGAGGAAACTGAGGAGATCGGTCGTGCGAACGTGGTGGGGAACCCTTTCAGGTAGTCCAGGCTCGAGTCGATCCCGGTGCGCAGGAAGAGCAGTCCTACATCGGCTTCCCAGCTGTGCGCCACGTTCTCCTCTCGGTCAAGCGACGCATGGGAGCAGTGTGTGACCAGCGCGGCAGAAGACAGCGGCTCAAATTGCGGCTCAAGGGCGGTGTCGTCTCCAAGGAGAGCGACAGAGGTCACCATTCGAGCGGACAACACTTATGTCACTCGCCTTGCCTTCAACATCCAGGGCTCAGAAGACTTCAAGTGCAGCGATGGGAAGACAAGGTATGAAGAAAACTTCACCATCGACACAAGCGCTTGTGCCCTTGCGGGCTTCTACGGCAGTGCTGACAAAAGGCTTCGTACTCCCGGTCTGGTGAAGCTGTGCTTTGACCCGGCTCAGTGGAACAAGAATGCCTAGAAGTCGGGAGCGGATGCACATGAACCGGTCCGCGACTATTTTGTTCACTTGTGCAGCTGTGCCCGCTCTTCGTCTCCGATTTTACCCACAAAGGTTATTCTCATGCTTCATGCGTGTGGGCTGTGCATGACTTATGTGGAGGCTTCTTTTGTTGACAATGACAAGCTTCGACACATGGTCAACGTCGTGTTTCGGCACCGGTGATGTGAAAAGAGGGTTTTGTCCCATGCTCCTGGGCGACTCGGTCGCAAGCTTGCCCTTCGGGATTTTTCACTTCAACCTTTGGTCCTTTGGTGTCAAGATTTTGGGTTTCGGGTACCTAGGTGACATGTTGTAAGGTCTGAATATTTGGACAGCAAAGCCTTTCACATTGCAACCTTCGTGTGTAGTCGCCTAAGTATCCTGTGAGCACGGAACCTAAACTTCCGAAGCCCCAAACCCAAAACCCTTGAGGTTAAACCCTAAACCTCTGAAGCTGTCAACCTCCAAATCTCCAATCCCCTTAACCTTAAACCACCGAACTTCGAAACTCCGAAGCGCCAAAGCGAACCTATGGACACTTCGTACCACCTGCTGCCTGCAGGATTGGGCAGGAGTCCGTGCCACGCTTTCCATGATGCAAAAGGACGGGATTTCGTAAGGAATATGTAGAGATGCCGGGTTTAAAGCTTTGATATTTCCTTGGCTCATATATAATTTTAAGTATGTACATATACATACACGACTAAACACGCACACACACACAGACAGACAGAAACAGACACAGCCACAGCCACAGACACAGGCACAGACACCGACACCGACACCGACCCAGACTCAGACACAGACACAGACAGAGACACAGACAGAGACAGAGGCAGAGACACAGCCACAGACGCAGACCCAGACGCAGACCCAGACGCAGACACAGACCCAGACACAGACGCACAGACACACACACAGACACACACACAGACACACACAGACACACACAGACACACACAGACACACACAGACACACACAGACACACACAGACACACACACACACACACACACACAGACACACACAGACACGCACACAGACACGCACACAGACACGCACACAGACACGCACACAGACACGCACACACACAGACGCACACACACACACACAGACGCACACAGAGACACACAGAGACACACAGAGACACACAGAGACACACAGAGACACACAGAGACACACAGAGACACACAGAGACAAACACACACGGACTGATGTTACGACTTCAGGATGCGACATTAAACTAGTTAACATGGGTTCAGGCATTCGGAGATAGCCTTTCCACTGCCAAGTTGGATTTGTTAATATCGGGGCTTCAATAATTACCTGTGTTATTCTGGGGTTCCTTATTACAAATATAGTATATTGGGCCCCCAAACCCTTTATTACATGCAGGGTTGTCGCTTGACGCGCCTTCGTTTTGAGTTCATCTCAGGACATCCTCGAAGGCGCACCGGGTAGTTTTGAATCGAACTTTTGCCTTGTTTGTGCCGATTTTTTATTTTTTTGCACTTTTGATTCTTTCTCGACTCCTGCAATGATGTCCCAGACGGCTGCAAGAATCCAAGTATCGACCCGCTCGAGATCATTTGTATCATCTTATGCGATCTGAGCAGACATGTCCTTCAAAACTGGTGGAAACAGCCCTTGGACCTACAGCAAACCTTACCTTAAGCCCAAGCCCCCTCAAATCCCAAATCTAACCACCTGAATCTTCCACAGCAAGTGGGCTCAGTTGAAGGTGCCCACGTTTGCGTTCCACCACACCCCTAGAATTTGGGCTTTTCGGGTCCTTCTTGTATAGTTAGGCGCTGAATTTGGACTTGCATTGGGGCTGGGGAAGGATTCTGCAGGAGTTGAGGCTTGGTTTAGGGTTTAGGTTTCAACACAACAGGCGAGGCAATGGAGCGATCCTTGTGCACTGTGGATGCAAGGTTCCGTTGGTTAGTTGTCCAAATTCGGGTCCCTTTTTGGGTACCCTAAGTATTAGGTGCCATACTATATTAGGGACCCAAAAAGGACCATAATTTTGACAACCATTCATATTAACTACCACGGGGTGACTGGGCAGCATGACTCGTGCTGCGGAGGATGACAAGGACGGATTGCCTGGATTCTGCCATGAGCTGGACCGGAACTGGTAGCTTCGGGTTGAAGGGTTCAAGGTTTTCGGTTGATAGGTTTTGCGATTGGTAATTAAGTCTAAGCCACGCAGGTGGCGGGTTTAGGGTTGAAGGTTTTCAAGGTGAAGGTTTTAAGGGCTTTGGGAAGTTGTAGGAAAGGTGCTTAGGTTAGATTGGGAACGGTGTGGTCAGTTGAACGAATTTTGAGGGCAGGTCTACGGTAATGAATATTCAACTGCTGGCAATCCAATGGAGGGTGCTGAACATGATGCTCATGCTGATGAAGATGACGACATCGATGATCACTATGGCGGTGATGTTTGTGTTTGATGAATATGGTCAGGTGAGGGTGATGGTGGGGAGCGGTGAAGACTGCCAGCGTGCAGAAGGGAGAGGAGAGGATGCGCATCACGCCACCGAAGAACTTAGCGCAGAGTGATTTCTATCTCGGGGTTGAGGATTTGAGATTAAAGCAGCTAAATGGTTGATTCCTGGCAGGAAAGGAACGACAGCCCCGAGCAACTGGAAGAACTGCAATACTACTCGGAAAAGCAGCCAACTGGAGACGTCAGAGGAACTAAGTAGAAGACTGAGTAATTTGAACATTCTGAGGTGTCAGAAGATTAGAGGTGCTTGCAACCAGTATCAAGCTACTCAGGATCTCGAATCCGGTTACCCTAATGTCGGAGGCTCATCCCTCCCCGTCGCCAACTCCAGACCCTCACGTGAGTCCATGAAAGGCTTGTACTTGCCTTGAATGAATAGGGGCAGCAATAACTGCCAGAAGCTCGCACTGAACCATGACCGTCAAAACGTCGTCATGATCAGCCCCCCAACAGTTTGCTGAGAGCTTCTTGTTCGCATGCCGACTCTTGTCTGAGTAGTTGCCTATGATTTGCCTTAGGCTTGCTTACTATACTATTATTCACCCCCCCCGAAGCTCGAGTCTAATCAGTAATTAGGGCCCTTATATCAGCTCTTCGCAAAGCCATGGTTCATGATGGCCTATGCTTCAGTCAGCTGCACGGCTCCCTCGGTTTGGAGCTGTGGTACACCGGTAGCCCCTACCTTAACCCTGAACAACCTACCTTTTTGCGGTTCCTTCTCATGATTTCCTGTAATAAGTCCTTAAAAGGGTCGGTTATTCCTGAACTCCGAGACCGAGCCCAATACCGCCAATACCTCTTGATTGATTGAGACCCCGAAACCCTAAACCCTTTCCACAGCTACCGTAATAGTTCACCAAACCGACCCAACAACCTCATCCTTGTCCTTGAGCGAAGCTTGCAGAGAAGCCCTGTAAGACAGCACGGTTACCAGCCTTATGTCTTCTAAGTACAGCACCATGAAGCTCCGAGAGGACCTGGCGTTTCTGGATTGGGGCGGCAGCGGCTCGACTTTTCAGGCTAAGTATATTTTTTACCCTGCAGCCTAACCCTAACCTCATAGGAGGCCAAACGGGGTTTTAGCCTATGGGGGTTTAGTAGGATTTAGGGTTCCCATAATAGGGACCATCTTAAGGAATCCCTACCCCAAGAATCTTAAGCCCCCCTTTTGGCAAACCCTAGATCCTCCACCCTGGTTCGGGTGCTGGTGGTTTGGGGTCTGGTGGGGTTCGGGGCTCCCAGTGGACTAGTAGTAAAAACCCGAAACCCCGAGCCATGAACCCTGTAAAGGCGGGTTAGAATAGGCTTTGGGGTGGTATATTATACTAGAACTATAACAAGGAGCTCCCATAATAGTAGAGTTGCTTGCAAAGGAACTCCCAAAGATAGAGGCCCGATGGTCTGGAATAGTGGGACACGTAGGCGGTGCGGGTGGGTATTCGCGAGGAACAGGTAGGGTTTACTGTAGGGTTTCAGGATTCTGCCATGAGGGGCTTGTCATGTTTTAAGTTTCGAAGAGTCGGGGGTTTAAGGGGGTGTAGGATGTGGTGTTTCAGGGTTTAGTGTTTCGGGGATTGTAGGATCGGAAGCCCTTGACATTGAAAGGCCCGAAGCCGAAAATACCCCCAGGCAATCTCCCAGCACCGAACCCCTCGCGCCGAGGTCTGCTGAATGAACACCTCCCGGTGAAGACGAGCCCGTCGGACACTCCAGTTCTTTTGATGGAGGGAGGGGATGGGGGTGGTAGGGTTAGGATATATAGGGGGGTCTAGAGGGTTAAGCCCCAAATCCAGATCAAAAGAATCTCCTGGCCCTGTTTGAATTGAAGGTTCATGAGTTTTACAACACAAGGACCATATTCTAGATTCTAGACACTAGACCGTAAGAACCAGGATCCTGGTTCTTAGAGCCTTCCGACAGGCGTTCGGAAAATTTAGAACACTCTAAAGTAAACCCTCTAAAGTAGAGTTTTCGTGGTTTTGGGTGTATGGCTGATCGCTTCATTGTCGTTTAGAGTCTAGTTTCAGGACCAGAGGTGGATTTCGAGTTTAGTTAGTTTAGTTGAGTGCAAAGCTACCTTGCTTATGAGCCTACTTCTAAGAGTATCATGTTTGTTCTTATACTTTCTCATCTTGCGGCCTCATCTGTCCTCAGTGTGCCAAAACCTACACTACAGTCTGAATCGGTTAGAGTTTAGGGGAAGCCGGTTTCCGAGCATTGCTCCAATGGTAGGATGCGGGTAGGTAGGTGG